TAGACAGCTATTTGGAGATATGCAAAGCTAGGAGTCTGAATCTGTAGTTGAAAGAATTCTTCCAAGGTGTTCATCTAACATTCTAACCTTGCCAGAACAGCTGTAATGGGTGCTTAGGTGTAGGAAGAGTTAAAATACGATGATAGTTCCTGAAAATATTCTTCCTGTCATCCAGTGATTAATAGCCATCAATAGATTTTTCTACTAAAATTTATCTGGCCCCTTTCTTAATACACCGCCAGTACCTACTGCCTTGGTCTACTCTTGCCAACAGTCAGACCAACAAATAATGCTTCTAGAATGGCAGTTATCAGCACAGAGACATCAAGTTGTATAACTTCTCTATATTCTTCTTGATATTAAGTCATACGATCAAAACAGTTTTTTTAATAACTGTGTCTTTATCATGTATTTTGCTAGCTTACCTCTTTCAACTAAAACAGTATTTGTCGCATTGAGGGTAGCTTTTCATCTGATTATCTCCCAGATGACTGTTTTGACTACACACTAGTTATCTTAAATTTTCCCAGCTTGATAAAACTAATTTACCTGTCTTCATTAAAGATATTCACCTCTCCACAGAAAAAGAGTATTTCTCTTTTCTCACTTAGACACACACACAGATGCACATCCTTGTTTCATGATGTTTCCTCATTCTCCAGCTGCATACAGAAGTAACTCAACTAGCTATTTTAAATTCAACAGCTATAAAATTAGGTGAGATCGATTTTTTCTTAGTGTAGCAAAATGATTTCTAGGATTGTTGAGTGACAAATGTGTATATTTACCTGTTCTTCAAAACTCTGCAACCAGAGCTGAATAACTTATGCATTTTTAGATTTATGTCAAATTCTTGGGGTTACATGCAAAAATAAGGCTGTAGCTTTTGAATTACTTTGCATGTGTAGTCTCACTGTTGATGCAAATCAGAATTTGCAAATGAAAAATGTCTAAAGCATGATTTGAAGACAGAAATATTTTGCTGCAGTGCATGTTTACATTGGTTTTTTATAGAAATTAATTCACTTTCTAGAAATCCAAGCTACAGGATAATAAAATGAAAAAAGAGCAGATTAACAATATATATCCTAAATTCTAGCATTCCTAAATAACATGATTAATTGTAATTATATTGCTGTATATTTGGCTAAAAAAATAATATACATAGGGAATTCTGTTACAAAAACAGGTTAGAAACAAACACATTTGTACTTTAAAAAGGTAGATAACAAGACATCTGTAGTATATATAATTATATGTTTATATATATTGCTCTCATTTGTTTAGATTAAATGTTATGTAATGTTAAAGTTAAACAGCAAGCACCATATTAACTACACATAATATGAACTTATTCAAATGTTATGACTCCACCTTTGATAAAATTTTATTGGAAAGCTGCTCATAAGATCTTATTAAAATCTATAATTTCTTGAAATGTAATTTAAATGACAGGCCATAGTGATTTTTTAAAATGTTAAATTAGAAATTGTCTTGTAAAATGTAACTGCTGCTTACTGCATAATAATATTTCATTTACAATTTCCAGCAACACGTTGTGGTAGTAATTAAATAAAGAGAAAAATTTATTAAAACACTTCCTCCAGTGCTTTACAATTTTAAAATAAATTGCCTTCTGCTTAAATGTGTGAACTATTTTGACAGAATGTTTAAAGCAGAAAACTAATGGAATACAGCTGTTCAAAGTTAACGAAGATAAGCCAGCAGTGAAGATGACCAGCCCAGCTGAACAGAGAAATTTTTCTGGAACTTTGGAAAAACAGGAGATTTTATGACCTTTGGAAGAAGGGGCGGGAAACTCAGGAGGACTACAAGGATGTCATGAGGTTATGCAGGAGGAAAATTAGAAGGGACAAAGCTCAACTGTAACTTTATCTGGACAATAAAAATTTTTCTATAACTACATAACCAATAAAAACAGGGCTAAGGAGAATCTCCATCCTTTAGCGGATGCAGGAGGAAACAAAGGATGAGGAAGAGGCTGAGGCACTTAATGCCTTCTTTGCCTTAGTCTTTATAGTAAGACCAGTTGTTCTTCAGGTACCCATATATTGTCCTGTCACTACATTCCCTTATAAAAAGTCCCTCTCCAGCTTTCTTGTAGGCTCACTTTAGGTATCACAAGGTGTTCTAAGGTCTCCCTGGAGCCTTCTCTTCTCCAGGCTGAGCAACCTCAGCTCTCTTGTGTTCATAGGAGAGGTGCTTCAGCCTTCTGATCATCTCGATGGCCTCCTCTGGCCTTGCTCCAACAGGTCCATGTCATTCTTATAGTGGGGGCCCCAGAGCTGGATGCAGCACTCCAGGTGGAGCCTCACCAGCTTGCAGTAGAAGGGGAGAAGAGCAAAGATAAAGATGGAGCATCTGAAGGGAAGACACAATGTCCAAAAAACTCTGATAAGGGAATGTCAAATGTAAACCACAGTTTCTGTTATTTATTTCTACTGTCCATTTGTCCCTGAATTTGTGTAAAGGAGTGTCAGAAAAATAGTTTCTGACAATTCCAAATTAAATAAACCTCTAAAATATCAACCCTGGAGGGATGTTACCGATGCTGGAGGAAGTTTAATCTGAATCAATAGCTAGAGAGAAGGATTCACGTATTTGTTTTACACTTAAAAGTAGCTTGCAGTTCCTCACATGGCCCACAGAAATTGTGGGTGGCTGATAAGTATCAGGAAACTCTCTCAACTTGAACTGCTTGTCAGTGTTTTGCAAAAGGAAAAGAATATAAGCATTCCAAAGAGTTTTGTCTGCACTTTTCAAAGCTAATTAAGCAAAGAAACTTTCTATATCATCTATCAACTGGGTTTTATTTATTTATTGTAGAAAATAACTACATAACATATCAAAAGCAACAAATGAAAAGAAATAATCCACCATTCTGTGTACTAAATCTGAAATGCACATTAATGGAGCACCAGCAAGTTTGTCAAAATGCCATGGCATAATTATTTCCTAATTAGCTAGTGTAGTCAAACATGTAGGATTTACTGCTACTTACATGACTTTTCATTGTAGAAATCAAAAAAGGAAATGATAATGGCTTCATGCTGTAAAGACAATTCTTTTTGGTTTTGGTTCATCTGCTTAGATACTTTCAAAATGAAACGTATGCTGAAGTACCTCATGTTTAGTGTCATCTTTTATTTCATTTTGAAATCTCTCTAGAGTATGAAATATAAATGACAAAGACACTGAATTGAATAATAAGTGCACGTTAAAATTATGCGTTACTATGTGCTAGCCAAGATCCTAATGCCAAGTCTTTATTGTAAATCACATTGATCTATAATTACTATGAACTGTTAAGCTTTCATATTTGCAGAGTATTTGGAAATAAATCATTGCATCATTCAGTATTAATATCAAATGTGTGAGATGGAAAAGTGGTTCTAGAAATGCCGTAAACTTAGTTTACTCTGAAATCTTACAGATTTTTTTATATTTAAAACTAAAGAGAACTATTATTTAGGTTCCTTGTTCTTTAATAAAATAAAATATTTGTATAAATCTTTGTTAAAAGAAAAAATTTTCTGAAGGTTTTTCTGAACTCTGAAAAGAATGATCTGACAAGCTGTATTTTTCAGCTTGCAGAACAAGACCTATGATTTCAACTCAGCTGATTGATACGGTTCAATCTAAAGACAAAAGGCTGGCATTTTGAAAAGTGTATGTGTTCCCAAACTGAGAGATCGCCCAAATATGTTGAGAGAATTACACACTCAAATTCTATTGTAACTTTTGATGGAGATAGGAAAGCAGTTTACCATCAAGGAGGCTTCAGATTTCTTTCAGCACAGAAGGAAGAAACATTGGAGATGATTTCACTACACTGCTGTACCTTTACTTTCTGCAGTACACAGCCCATGTTTATTAACCTACTGGTTAGGGCAAGTGATGTATCCAAAGAAACAAGGTAATGTAAAACTGAACAGACAGCAATTATATGCATTGACATTTTTTTTTAAATGGTAACATCCTGTCCTTAGAGAAAAGACCAAGAGATTTTTAATATCACCAGCATGACAAGAACTCTGCTTTAGAGGTCTTCTGTACACTGTCATGTCCAATCAAACTGTAGATTCTAAGTTTTGCATGCTCAGCACAACCATGTTGGCTCCTAATCCCACAAACCCACTCTTGTGTATTTTCTGATAAATATTGATATGATCCTGCTATATTTAGCTTAATAAGATCACATCACAATTTAATACTTAAATACCTATACAGTTACATATGTAATGTAGACCAGACCCTATTATGTTACATTAAGACTGTGGGTGAGGAAATTTAACTGCACTCTGCCATCTAAATGTACTATATAAAACAGTTCATAATTTGAATTATTTTAACAATATTTTCGAGGCAATGTAATTTAAAACTGTGCTTTGAATGAAAAAGCAGTTGTATAAAATGGGATCTGATGGGTTGAAGATCCAAAAATTGTACTTTTCATCTTTTTCATTGCATGTACACATGTATACATATAGTGTTTGCCTCTTTCATTCTCCTCAAAAATTTTCAGAAAACCATTCATAGGATTCAGAGTACATGTTGTATACTACAGAGACCCTGTAAAACAGGTAAAAATGTACATTTTAAAAAACCAAGGGAAATTCCAATTAATGAGGTCACATATCAGGCAAAAATGAACAATTATCTTCACCATGGCACAGAAACATGGAGTCAAAAGGGGACTGAAGAGCATGGAAACACTTGCAGTGCCTTCTCTGATTTTACAAGTTGGAAGCAGTCTTCTTATTACAGAACTGACTGTTTTATGAGCATATTCTGAACAAGAACAGTGTGACTCATGTCAGGCATTCCTCATTCAGCAATAATGAAAACAGGTCAAGGAGAAAACTTAGAGAACTCACACAGAGGAAATGTCATCATCCCCCCCTCTCTCGCTGAGTGGTCCATAGGTCTGAGTTCAGTGACTAATTGCACATATCACAGTATTTAAGGATGCATTACACTTATAGATGGGGTCCATAGACTTCGAACTCTTCCTCTGAAAGTTTAGCAGGTGTAAAGAGGGACTTCAGTTAGAAGATAGAAACTGCTTGCATATTCAATGGAGAAAGATCAACTTCTGGTTCTGAGAACCTTTTGGTCCTGAGATCCATCTGAAAGAGGGTGCCTCTTTCTTATGTCTGCCTTGTGAGCTTTCCCTCAAATGTTTAGATAGCATGGCCTCAATCTCAGAGATGCTTGCTATCTATAGCTTTCACTGAGAGAAAGGGATGTACATGTCGATCCGGGATGGCACTTGCCATGGCAGAGAACACATTATTTGTGCACAGTTTGCTCACAGTACAGTAAGAGCTTTTATAGAAATCAATAATTTAGGGCAAAATTTTACCCACATGTATGTGTGCATTACTTCCTTTGAAATGAAGATAGACATCTGCACATGTACCCATGAACAGAACTAGATCATAGATATTTTTCTTCATAGTGAATTTTTCATCTAGCTAACCCAGAATGAATAATTTGTTACAATAATTATATAGTACTTACCTCTTTTAAAGTGCTTTTCATCAGCATATCTTAAAGTCATTAAAGTTCTGGGATTTTTTCTTCCACGATGTCCTTATTTTGATATAACTTTTTTTCAGAGATTCTATCCATAATCAAATCTGTCCCTAAAGTTTCCTGTAACTCAGAATTTTGATAATTAATAGATAATTTTAGAAATACTTCTTCCAAAAGGCATAAGCTGGTTCCACCTGGCTGCTGATGTTCCTAAGGTGAATTAATTTTCTCACTATGCAATCTGTAGCAATTGACGAAGTATTTACCTGTAGACATATTGATTTACTATTTTGTTGAAATATTCCTTGCAAAAGAGCAGAGTGGTTTTAAACCTTAATGTTCTTTATACACTGAACGATGTACAGACTTACAAACTGACAGTCACACTTCTATCTAAAGGAGATAGACATTTGCCCATCAATATCAGCTCTGGACAAAAGTGAGATATGATGCAAAAGAAAGAGCAGCCTGTTCTCTATGAAGGCTCTAAGTTATAGGCCCTCAGAAAATAAACCTTCCACAAGAGAGGCTTTGAGGACTGATTTCTAGAAGGGCAGACCAGAGTTTAATTATACGAACATATGATTTGAAAGATCTTCAAGATGCAGCTGCTTAAAATTTAACTGTCTATACTAAGCTCAAGGCCTAAGATATCTGTATAGACAATGTAGAAACAACTAAGGAGAGCTATCTCCACAGACTATTAATTGGACAAAAAATCACTTAAAATAGAGGCAAGGTGGATTTCAGGTTTTTCTCTGAAGATGTTCTCTTTCCAAAGTGATTGCACAGATTAAAAATCTATCATTTAGGGGCCTACACTTAAGCAAGGTAAATTCCATATTCAACATCTCAAAATTTTGAAATGCCTCCTCTAACGCTTCCCAAAAATGTCCCCTAAAAATATCACTCTGTTGATAGATAACGAAACCTTTGAAGTCAGTATTCTACAGCACTGGATCTATCTCTTTAATTATAAAACTGTATTCTTGAAAGATTTGTTATTGGTTTATTACAGCAAAACATAGTGAGTCAGTGCTAAATTGTTTTGAATGCTCTAATAGTTGCATGGACTCAGAACTTTTAAAATCTTCTTTCTGAGGGAAACTGTGAAAAACAGACTTCCTACTGTACAGCTGGTCACCATCCTTGGCATTCTAACCTCTGTAAACTGTAAAGGATTTTTCTGCTGTGGAATGTATTTGCATTTTCCACAGCAGGATAATACATTTTCCTATTTATAAATTCAAACAATTCTACAGCAGTTACCGTAACCTGCCTACACAAGTGAAACCTTATTTCTTTGTGCAGAAATGGTGTGGCTCATTCCCTGATGTACACAGAAGGACATTGTAAATAACATTTTAACACCCACATCCCAGTTCATATTAAACAGATGTAATGTATGGGTAGCCCATTTAAAGAAGAAAAAGGTCAGTAAATACATAAGAAATGTTAGTCATGTCTGTAATCTGCCACATACAGCAACAAGAATCACCATTAAAAAGGTAAGGTAAAAAAGCTGATATTACAGGTCTCTAACTGCAAACAAGTGGCCCTGCTCTTATTTCTGCTCCTTTCTATGCCTCCTGCTTCGACCTGTATTACAAAACCAACACTGTGATCAACACACAGATTTTGACCACAGGAGACTTGGGTTCAAGGCACACAGGATGCAAGCTGTGCCTTTCACTAAGCTCTGCTGTGAACACGTGTGATTTACTATAGAACGTGTTTCACAGCACCAGTCACAGGTAACTCTAGAAAAGAAAATCAAAAGTCAATTGAGAGAGGAAGTGAGATGAAGGTTACAGGATGAGACAAACCAACCATCTCTGCTGCTTAGCATTTAAAAAGACAGAGGAGTAAAATGAAAGAATTGTTTTGTGCTGCTTCAGTACCAATACCAATACTGAGGACAGCTTTAGTTTTAACTAATATTTTAAACTTTTGCACTAAAGAAACAAAGGAAAGCTACCACTTGAATTCACATACATAATAGCAGTTCTCCATGGACTTAAGAAATGGCAGTGTCTCAATGAAATTATTTTTCATATTCAGAAGCTGAGGTAATTATTGGAAGCTTAACTTGCATACTGACTTCGAGCTTTGCCCAGTTTCCAGGCCTCACTGTTTCTTTGTTACTGACTTCTTGAAAGAATAATGCATATTAACTAATTCTTCATGTCAATATTCTTCATGTCAACAAATTATCAGGGTGAGTATGTTTTAGTCCCTTTTAGTTCCCTGAAACTGAAGAAAATAAAAGCTAGGGTAGTCCATCTGTTGGTAAGTACTAAGAAAGAGAATCTTAAAGTACACCTGATCCAGGAAAATTATAAATTAACTGCAAAAAGGTAGTTGTAAAAACTTAGAAGAAAAATTAAATAAAATCATATTATGTAAGCTTTTCTAACCCTGAGAGAGCTGGGTTCTCTGAGATTCTTTACAACATAACTTATATTTTAATATGAAAGCATTTCAGTCTCAACTCACTTTTAATAGATGGCTTTAGTGACTTATTTGTGATGGCAGAAACCTTGGAGAACGCATTGCACCAATGCTGTAGCTTATGAAAAAACAGATGCAGTGTAGTGTATCATGACAGGCTGAAATGGAATTCCAGCCGTGTGAAGGTAAATTTTCCAGCTGTGCTAGCACAGATTGGAATAACTCACTCATGACTGCTGCAGAAGTGTCAGTCTATATCTCAAACTGTAGCTATCAGCCACTTTGTACCCCTGCCTACAGCAGACAGGGAAAAATTCAGAAGTAACAAGGTGAGATTAATGCATTTCTGAGAAGTAACTTCCAGTTTTATAATATTTTTTGGAATCTATTTTTTTATTTCAATACTTTTTGCTCTTAGTTTATGAACATTCAGGTATTTCTTAAAATGGGTATACTACTCATTGCCATAATGTTCTTTTTTCCTTTAGAGTGGCTGTTGTTTTACGAATATTCAGTGCTTTTATCATGAGCAAATAATGAAGTTAGTTATGTTCATATATAATTGTAAAATGGAAACAGAACTGCATGAAAAATATATACATGGGAGGATGACACAGGATGATTGTGATAGGGCTTGGGATATCACAAACTGGACTCTCAAAAATATCAGTCACAAATCAATAATGCATTATGTTTTGACTTTGAAAAAGAGCAGGTGAATTTTATGCAAGTGAACTTGTAGAATCGACAACACTGATTTTAACTAAGCACCTTTTTTTTTTCCTATTCAACAATTCAGAAGTCACACTGAATCTCTCAGGTCTTATTTCTGTGATTAAATTCATCAGACATCCAGCTCTTTGTCTTGTGCTTACAGGAAATGGGATTTATAAATGGGTTTCCTATCTAATGCAGGCTTAGAGCAGTTTCGACTTCAAGATCAGACAAATGCAAGTCTTTGAACAGGGACACAGGAACTTATAATGTGCAAAAAATATCAACAGAAGATATGTATTAACATCACTGAGTTTAGATAATGCGTCTCATTTCTTTATTCCTGGCCTCGTGATATGTTGCAATACACAGAGTATGAGGCATTAAGTTCAAAAGTAAAATTCAGCATAATTTTGCGAGAACTGGAGAAAGCAAGTATGAAGAATGTCAAAATTCTAATGGTTCCTACAACATGTAAATAAGGAGTTCCTTAATAGAGTACACATCCCATTATTTGGTCAAGGGTATTAACTCCTTTTGAAGTCGTGGTTTTCTATTTCTCCAGCTCTCTCAGTACAAGCTCATTCCAGACTTTCTAAAGTAATTTCCCTTGGATTATTTGAGATCTAAGGTCATTTCAGAAATGATTGGCTTAATTTTAATTAGTGTCTGGTCTCACCATCACTGTTTTCAGTCATAAAATTCATCAGATAAAGGGATCCTAAATTAAAATGGTGGGAAAATATCTGGAATATAGATATATTCCCATTAAAAATATCTTGCATTTTATAAAAATCTAGTAGTTTCCATACCCATAGAAGAGCAAATATATCAGAGAAAGACATACAATTATGATCTCTACATTTGCTTGGTTGTATATTTCTACCTCTAAATCAAAACAGAACCTTTTATCAAATGTGAAGGCAAAGGAAAATCTTCCTGTGCTCTTACGCAAAAAATACGTGAAGCATAGGCAAAATAGACCTTCAGTGCCTCACAGCCACTCCTACTTCTCTCCTTATTACATACACATATGGACGTTTTATGAGACTCAATGAAAACTTACAGTACCTTGGTGATTGGTACCTTTCAGTTACCTGAAAACAAAGGAAAATGCCTCTTCAGGTCATACTGTTCCTTCTGTGCTCTCATCCTTTTTCCAGCACACATTTCACATATCACTAATCTCATAATTTCAGACTTGTCTGGTCTCATAGTGACTTTCTGTAGGAGTTTAAATCCTCTTGGAAAAACCGTACAGCACCTCAAAAATATCACTCCTTCCCGAGCTGACCAACCTTTTCAGACACTTAGAAAAGGCCCCCAGAACAAGTGACTAGTAAATG